GGGGGTACTTCCTTATTTACATTGTAAACTTAAGTAAATGGAGTAATATAAAAATAAATAAAAGTAAAAGGACAAAGACATTTACTTAAATGTTGAAAATGGAAATAAGGTATAGAGAGGAAAAAAAAAGTAATTTTTCGGTAATTTTTTTAGTTTTTTATTACAAAAATATTGGTTGTTGGTGTTCAAAGTGAAGAGTATTGGTTGGTATTTTTTGGGTATTTTTTTTACATTTGTTTCTTTTTTTTTATTGGGAACAATGAGGGTGACGTCATCGTGACGTCAGCTTAGCCCGCAAGCAAGCACTCGGGCCGAACCCCACCTCGGGCCAGCCCAAGCTGCTGGCCCCCACCTCTTGCCCGGGCTCCGCCTGCACTGCTGGAAATGCTCTTACGGCCTGCAACTAATGGTCAATTTCGCAGAAGAAAAAAAAAAGTCGCTAAAATGTGGTGGAAAAAGCAACTAATCCGATAAAAACTTTATATCTTCATGGACGCTCTCAGAAATCTAACTATACTGTTCTTGTAAATATGAAATACTATAATATTTAGAATCAAAACCCAACTGCCTTTCCTTGTTGAAATCTTTTAAAAAAGGGATCATGATGGGTTTTCAAAATTATTAACCTATCCAAACATGAAAAACATGGCGGGGAATTTTCCGGGAAGGTGAGTTGTTGTGGGTTATCTTTTTAGGTGTGATTCCATTTAATTTATAGACCGATGGGAAGTTTCTATTGCCTCAAAAAATCTTAGAAAGAGAGGGAGAGAGAGAGAAAGAGAGATGATAATGGCGTCGTCGTCGTCAGCGTCGTCTGTAGCGACTGTGGCTGTTGACAAGGCGACGAGCGATCTAGCAATTGTGTACCAAATTCCAAGCACTCTTCAGATCTAGATCCACAACGTACTCCCTAATTGTCTCTGAAATTGCCTTTACTTGTATTATCTCTTGCTAATAATTTGCTTTCTATTAGTAAAATATCAAATTAGTCCCCAATCAAATTTTCTTGTAACTTTTTAACCAACCTATTGCTTCTTTCATAATATTCTCACCAAAGGGACTATTGGTTGTGGTATCAACGTGGGGCTGCATTACATGAATTTGGTTGCAAATAATATGCACGAACTAATCCATTAACAGACCTCAATTTGTTCCACTTGAATGATATCGTCATATCACAGAGCTCAAACCCCTAAGCTAGACTAAGCACAAAATCACCAAGCTTAAACCCAAAACATGACTGAGCACAAAATCACCAAGCTCAAAACCATCAAATAGACAGAGCACAAAAACATAGAGCTCAAAGATATAGTTTCGTACAACTTTTGAGTTCAAAACATCTTCACAAAGCAGAAAACATAAGTGTATTCTAGATTGCAAAAACAGAGTGGGATTTTGATCTCACGTTACTTGCAGCAGGTTGAGTCCCTCCTTTTCTTGCCAAAAGTCCTCTAATTGCCTACAATTCAGAGAAACCAAGAAAATCTGAATTAGTGAAGCAAGGAATTCAAAGTAATCAACCAAATCATAATAAAGAGCAGCCTTTGCCTATAGCTTAGCCTTTCTTAAGAGATTGCTGGGTTGAGCTGCTTGCAACTTCCCTTCCTCTTCCCATTGAACTTCTTGCTCTTGCACTTCATCTTCCTCTTCCCATTGAACTGCTTTCTTCCACAGTCAGTTGAATTATGTCCTATTCCTCTCCACAACTCTGAGCAATGTATTATAATATACAATATCTAAGTTTATTTGCACCATTTGGGATCTCATCAAACTCTCTAATCCTTGCCTTATTAGGCCTTCTACTTTGCTTACGATACAATGAAGGTTTATAATGGACCTATGACCTATTTTAACCAGTGTTTTCAAAGGCATGCCTTCGCGCGCGTCGGAGCGCGCGTCGGCGCGAGGCGGCAGGAAAACGCCCGAGGCGGTCGACTGTTTCGCGAGTTGCACGTTTAGCAATGGGAAGGTGTAAGAAGGCGTTGCAAGGCGTGCAGATCTGGAAACCTCTGAACCGGAAGAATTTTGCTCATCTGCAAATTGTCTGCGAGGAAGAACTTCGCGAGGAAGACGACCTGCTTTTGTTTTTTTTTTTTTAGGTTATTGAAACGACGTCGTTTTGATTGTAGCATTTAAAAACAATTTAAAATCGAAACAGCGTCACTTGGAGTGTGTTGGAAAAAAAAAACCGGAAGTTTCTACTTTTTTTTCCCCCCCCCTTACCTTTATTGTAATAAACTGAAGGCATATTCTTCTTGCCATTTCCAACTCTAGCCGGCGCTTTTCTACTTACCTCTTCTTTTTTTTTTTCTTTTTTTTTCCTTTTCTAAATTAATATATATATTGTATAGTACATATACAACTATAATTTCTACCCTTATCAGATAATCTCCATCAATTTCAAGAATTCTCTTCATCTTTTGACTGCAAGTAAGTCATTTTATTTTTCTCTCTAATTCTTCGCAACTGTAATTTCAAGTTCCGTATATTTTTTTTTCAATTTTTTTTTAAAAATATACTAGTTGTATTATTCCTACATTTTTCTTATTAAAATAAATTAATGTTCAAAAGGCTTACGCCTCAACGCTTCAAGGCTTACGCCTCGCGTAGCGCTACTGAAAACGCCTCGCCTATACGCCTCGCCTTTGAAAACATTGATTTTAACCCGTAACTCTTGGGTTGACATTGGTGAAATGTAATTGATATATGCTCTATCATATGAGGAGTGGGTAGCAACAGATTGGCTCTTTAATTATGTTTCCTTCTAGCATCAATCCCATTTTAGCTCACACTAAAATTAAATGCCATGTTTATAAATATGTAAAAGTAAAGGGAGATGGGAGATGTTAATTGCACTCCAACACAAACCATTGCTTTTTCATTGCATTATCATCTTACAGGAAACTCCTAACATCAAATCCTCCAAAAAAGAATAAGAAATTAAGTCCTCAATTGACCAGTATAAAATGAGCATTACCAGCAGTGAGAGATATTGCAAATGCCTTCGAACAACTTGTTGAAATCTTTCTTGCTAATGAAGTATTTAGGGGTCGATACAAGCATCTTCACCTTTTAAAATTTAGCTGAATATGAACTTCAGCCAACCAGTACTCAGAGCAACGTTTTAGAAGATTTTTTCTTTTTCATTGTGAAAATTGTCTGATAGATGTTTTCAAATCACTGTTAATACTGAACTTCCCATTGATCTCCACAACAAAAGCTGACTTCTTAACTTCACAGACTAGTTAATGGTGATATTGCTTGAATATATCTGCCAATGAACCCCATCCATTCTTACTATGCTTCCCAATAGATTCAGCATCATATGAAGAACAAAGAGAAAGCCCATTGTTGTGTGAAAAGCTATGATTGGAGTACTTTCGATCCTGGAATTCTAGGCATTGCTTTGGGGTGCTTAGTGACCTTGTCTTTGCCTTGGCAGATGCTGTCACGGTCTTGTAAGTTGGAAGAACTGCAGAAGATGCCATCAATCTGTCATGCTGATGTTGAGCAGAATTGTTCTCTTCTGCAATGCAAAATGATCTCCTTGTTAATAATTGAAATTGTATACTCAATCCTTCCCTTGAATCTTCATTTCTCACATGTCTCAGTTGAACTTGTGATCCTCCAAACTTTCCATCAGTACAACCACTTTGATTTGAATGAACGGTTAGCGTTTCAGTTGCATTGTCGATCATTGAATCATCTAGCATTTGAACATTTCGGCTTTCCTGAAAAAGAGAATAATTATGTGGCACAAGGTAGATTGATGTTAGAAGAGGAAATGGCAGAAAAGAAAAAGAAAAAGAATTGCTTGAACTTTGACAGCATTTTGGATTTGTCATAAGTTTTCCTGTCTTTATATTTGAATTCATCTGAAACAAAAATTCAATGATTTCAAATTAAAGTACCCGCAGAGAAAATGAGTATTTCTTTATCCGCTCTCTTTTGATCATGGCTTCTTGCTTTCTTAGCCGAATGGTTTCCATGTCTTCCTTTGAAATTATACTGCAATCCCACCCTCTCTGGCTGCTGCATTCAAGCTGTACATAACAAAGATCTTCAGTAAATCAAATGAGGACTCAGGAATTATGTGGCTTTTATGAAATCAAATTATATTAGGATCTATTCGGAAGTACAATTAAGAATGAAGAACTCTCCCATTGAAAAGAAAAAAAGAAAACAGAATGAAGAACTATATCAGGCAATGACTGCAGGTTTTACCACCAAAACTGTTCTTCACAGAAATTTACATTCAAATCAGGAAAGAACTCAGAAAAGCTCTGTTACCATCCTATGTTTAGGAGATGCAGATGATCAAATTGAAGGTTAAAAAATATATCTATTTGGTCTTGCTTTAAATTACACTAAATATATATGCACACGTATTTATATGTATTTTTCTCACTTACAAATGGTTAATATATATTCAACTCTTTGAGCTGCCTGACTATGAACAGAGTATTTATATAAGAGAAAGTTTCCAAGAAGCTCACAAGATGTGCCTGATAAGCGCTTTGAATTTTAATGGCAGCCAAATTCCTGTCAAACTTTGTGAAATAGTGGTAAGGTTGTGAAGTAAGGAGCAAAACCTCAGCTGCAGCAGCTGTTGCCATTGCAACATCGAAAGCGTGTTTTTTCTGCTCTTCCATAGCTTCACGTAGTGTCCTCTCTGGTGCTGTCAGTGCAGCCTGTGCAGGGTATTGATGAAGTACTTCAAGTCTTCGAAAAATCCATCTCCAGTTGTTTGATTTCTGGAGATTAACAGGACTAATTAATATTACCCAAAAGAGGGCCATAGATAAGCAGTTAAGCATGTTAAGGCAATGAAGGAAGAGTTTAAATTCACCAACCTTTTGTGTCCTTGTCTTTGCTTCAGAAGTAAAGAACCTCTTGACCCAACCAAACCAGCCCTTTTTCTTCGCCATTGATCTACTATTAAGACCATGTTAATCCAATATGTCAAACATCATCCTATATTCTTCAGGCATTTCCTGCAATTTAGGAAAAGATATATATATATATATATATATGCCAAAAGTACATACACTACTACATTTTAGGCTTTGCGCGACGAATAAATATCATTCGTCGTGCAAAACAGTGCGACGTATTACAACTTCATTAAAAAAAACATTTCGGGACGACCCTAATGTCCGTTGCACAAACATTTGCGCGACGGAAAACTGGTCGTCGCAAAAACAATGCGCGACAGACTTTTCCGTCGAGCGAGATTCATGAACTTTGCGTGACGAAATAATATTCGTCGCGCATACAAATTTCGCGTGACGAGATAATTCGTGTCGCATACAAATTTCGCGCGACGAAACAATTCGTAGCTCATACACACTTTGAGCAACGAAATTCTTCGTCGCGCATGATTAAAATATATTTGTCAACGGGTTTATTTAAATGATTTTGCGCGACGATTTACCTTTCGTCGCGCAAAAGCAATATATATTATTTAAAAAAATTATTATTATTTGATTTTTAATTTTGTAAAAAAATAAATTTGGTTTTTTTATATAATTAAAATGAAATTACAATAAAAAGATTAATCGCAAAGAAAACATTTATTATATAAAATAAAA